TTAAGTATAATAGCAAGAATTTTGTCTAAAACGCTGGATGGTGGGCTGAAGAAATAGTACAATGGGAAGGGTATTTGCCTCGCACATGGCTGACTTGGGTTCAATCCCTGGCACCACATCTGGTTCCCTGATCCCGCCTGGAGTGATCCCTGGGTGCAGAGCCTGGAGTAAACCCTGAGCATCAGAAGGTGTGACCTCGGGGGCTGGAGCGATAGCACAGCGGGTAGGGCGTTTGCCTTGCACGCGGCCAACCTGGGTTCGATTCCCAGCATCCCACGTGGTCCCCTGAGCACTGCCCGGGATACTTCCTGAGTGAAGAGCCAGGAGGAACCCCTGTGCATCGCCAGGTGTGACCCTCAAAAAAAAAAGGAAAAGGAAAAAAAAAGAGTCTTGCCTTTCACCTGTTAATTTACAACATTTCGGACTACTTTCTGGAGGACTCAGGAGAGCCTCGCCGTTTTGACCTGGTCACATCTGCGGGGCCTTCCTCTATGTCTCCAGCACCTACCTTGTAGATCCCCACGCCTGTGGCCAGGGGAACGACACGTTTCCTACAAGGGCCAGACAGCACGGTGTTTGGTGTTGGAGCATTTACTGCAAGACGGTACAGGCCGGAAGGGCGCCCAGATTTCTAGACTCCGAGTCTCTTGCCTTCTTCAATTTTCAAAGGGGAAATACATGGATCTGATTTAAAATGGGAAAAATACATCTAGGGAGATACTGCAAAGGGCTGGAGCCCGCACGTGACTAATTCAATCCCGGGCATCACCTGATCCCGGAGCACTGTGCTGGGAGTAGCCCCTGAACACCACCAGGCGTGGCCCCGAAACGAAAATGTTACAAAGTACAAAAAGGAAGGTCAGAGGGATAGTACAGCGGGTTCGGCCCTTGCCTTGTGGCTGACCTGGGTTCGAGCCCCAGCACCTCATATGGTCCCCTGAGCACTGCCCAGAGCATAGAGCCGGGGGTAACCCCTGAGCACTGCCAGGTGTGGCACCACCGTGAAAAATAAATAAATAAAATATAAAAAGGAAAATAGGTATTGAACGGACCAGAGAGGGTGGGAGAGAGTCGGGACAAAGGAGTGAGTCCTGAGCACAGCCAAGCATGAACGAGAGCAGGGGACACCGAGACGATGGACTGGAGGACATGCCTTGCCTGCAGAAGTCCTAAATTCCATCCCCAGCACCCCCTGATTCCCTGAGCTCTGCCCGAAGTGAGCACTGAGTCAAGAGAAGCCCCAGTCACGGCCGGCCGTGGCCCCCCAACACACAGACCAAACCCCCAACCAAACCCCCCAAAGTTGAAGGAGGCCTGCCATGGAAAGTCTCTTGTCCCCCTCTGCCTCCAATAACCACTTTCACTAGTGTCCGTGATACCTTAGCAAAGCGTTTCTGCTGTGTCAATACAAGCGAAGATCGGCCTCGGCTCCTCCCCTTCACAAACGGCCGCACTCCACACGTCACACCCCCACACGTCACACCCCCACACCACGTCACAACACTGGGTCAGCAGTTTATCAGCTGCTCTTGGAGATAACTGGAGACACCGTGAGCTGACTCGCGGGTTTCTGGGCCTGCTTTGTTATCCCCATTGTGCGACTGTGCCCCAGTGGACTGAACACTGGCCTCCAGCTCAACCATCTGGATTGCCGCCCATCTGCTAAGCAATTGCCCCCACCCTGGCCGACCTGGCTGAAACCTCCCTCCCTGGCACCCCCATCCCCCCAGTTCCCAGCTCTGCCACCCTGAGTGTCTCCTGAGGCCCCTCACCCCTCCTGCAGGCTCCCCCCAGACTCATCACCAAGGGGCCCGAGCAAACAGTACAGCGGGCCTGGGAATTTGCCTTGCATGCAGCCAGCCAGGGTTCGATCCCAGGCATCCCATATGGTCCCCTGAGCCCGCCAAGAGTAATTCCTGAGTGCAGAGGCAGGAGTAACCCCTGAGCATCACTGGGTGTGACGAGAGAGAGAGAGAGAGAGAGAGAGAGAGAGAGAGAGAGAGAGAGAGAGAGATTCTTCCCCAAGCTCCTTCTCTCCGTCTCCCAGATGCTTGAACTAACTCAGGAGAGGCTCCGGGTTCTCAGGAAAGTTCCTTCTCTGGGGGGAAATCTCAGGAAAGGCTCTTTTAGTTCTTTTTTGTTTTATTTTTTGATTTTTGGGTCACACCTGGCGATGCACAGGGCTTACTCCTGGTTCTGCACTCAGGAATCACCCCTGGCGGTGCTCAGGGGACTATATGGGATGCTGGGAATCGAACCCGGGTTGGCCGCGTGCAAGACAAACGCCCTACCCGCTGTGCTATTGCTCCAGCCCCCAGGAAAGGCCCTTTGACGGGGACTCTGCTGGGGTTGGGCAGGTACAGGACCTCAGCAGTGCCGAGGTAGGAGGGGCCCCACTCTGGGGGGTGGGGGGCTGCTCTCCAAAACCAAAAAGCTCCTATGCCGTGCTTTAAGCCCAGTGCACTCGGCTGGGTTGCAATGCCATCCAGGGTGTGGGCGCTCTCCTGTGCCTTCACTGGGTTCACAGCGGGAGGGATGAAGAGAGAAGGCGCACGGCTCTGGGTGTCTGCTGAGGCTGGGAGACTTGCCTTCCTCATGGCATCCTTGCCATCTCTCATGGACCAGCTCAAGTGTCAGTTCTTCCAGGAAGCCTTCCTGGACTTCTCCAGCCCACACTGCCCTCCCCTCCCGTGAATTCCTTCTGTGTGTGTGTGTGTGTGTGTGTGTTGTGATAGCAACCGCTGTTCTCTCCTTAGTCATCCGTTTCTTGCCACCCTGATTGGTATGGAGCTTATCTCCCAGAGGAAACCCCAACTTCCGTTGTGATAGAAATAACCCTTTTATATTCTCCAGTTGTCAGTCCAGCGCTAAGCAATCAGGAGAACCTCCAGGTGACCTGGGTGTGGCTCCGACCCAACACTGGGGGAACGCAGAACTCAAAAGGTACTTCTGCGGGGCTGGAGTGATAGCACAGCGGGGAGGGCGTTTGCCTTGCACGCAGCTGACCTGAGTTCGATTCCCAGCACCCCATATGGTCCCCCGAGCACCGCCAGGAGTCATTCCTGAGTGCATGAACCAGGAGTAACTCCTGTGCATCGCCCGGTGTGACCCAAAAAAGCAAACAAACAAACAAAAAGTACTGGGGGGGCAGAGAGATTGGGTGGTGGGCACCACTTTGATCCAAGCATCACATACGTCCCCCAGAGCACTGCCAGAAGTGATCCCTGAGCACAGCTGGATGTGCCCCCTCCCCCCAATAAATAAAATAGAATAAAAGATACCTCTTGGGTGGGAGAAATGCTCACTGGGTCGGATCGGCACCCGGCACCAGCACCCTGGCAAAGGACAAGCAGCCTCCCCGAGCGCGGCCAGGTGTGGCCTCCGAACCAAGAGAAAGAAATGAAAAGAATAATAAATAAATAAAAGATGTTCCTGCTCTCCCTCCCCGCCTATACCTCGGCCGGTCCCTCCCCTCCCCTCCCAGTGGGAAAGCTGTGACCTCACAGCCACAACCCGCCCAAGGGTCACTTCAAAGTCCAAGGGTCCCTGAGCGCTGAACAACATGTCAGTGTCTGTTGGGGAAATAGCCCCAATCAGCGCCGAGAGGCCACCACGGGGAACATGCGTCGGCCGGGGCTGGACGGCGTGGGAGGGGAGATGTCCTCGGGGGCTCCGTGGGGGCGTGGGTCCTGTGCAGTGTGTCCTGCGGTGGCAGTGGCCACCCGCTGTGCTGCAGCAGAGAAGCCCTGGATGTGCGGGGAAAGTGGCCACTGTTCGTGCTGGGGGCGGGGGGAGGGCGGCCAGAGAGCCAGAACCTTCCACCTTCAGCCCAAAGAGAGGAACGGAAGTGTGCAGAGAGACAGGGAGAGAGACAGAGAAAGGGGAGATGGCAGGGGGGAGGGGGAGAGGGAGAAGGGGGAGGGCAGAGAGGATGGGGGAGGGTCTGCAGGAGAATGTCTCTGCTCTCCATGGGAGGGGCCGGTGGAGAGGAGTGAGGGGGAGAGTGAGGGACTGTCCAGTGAGGTCATTTACATGACACCACTAAGAGTATTTCAAAATGGGGAAAAAAAAGGGCTTGGGTACTGAGAGTGCTTGGTAGAGGAGGAGTGCCGGGTGGAGGGGGCGTCCCGCGGGGCTCTCCAGGGAAGCACTCTCTGCCGGGGCGCCCCCAGAAACCTCTCACCTTGCCCTCTGGCCCCCTTTGCATCTCAGTTCCTTTCACAGGTTCAGCTGCCCCGGGGGTCAGCTGTTCCCACCGGAGCTGGGGGTGGGACCCTGAAGGGGCCTCAGCTCAGCTCCCCAAGTGCCCCACCCGGTTGGGTTGGGGACAGGTACCCGGCCACACCCTGGGGGGTTGCTGCAGGTGGCACCCAGGTCTGTGGAGGATCTGGAAGCTGCCCTACCCTCGTTTTTTTAAGCGAGAAGGGTGCGCTCCCGGCAGTGCTCGGGGCTTCCGAATCCTTGCTCTGTGCTCAAGGATCCCCTCCCAGCGGGATCCCTTGGGGTACCCCATGCAGTGCCAGAGATGGAACCCAGCTGGGGCGGGCACCTGCAAGGCAAGCGCCCTCCCTACCCACGGGGCTATCTCTGGCCCCAGGTGATCCGCACTGAAAGCCAGGAAGGATCAAAAGAACTTGATGTGCAGAAAGACCCCCCGACGTGGTCCCCGCGGGCTCTCCGTCAATCCGCGCGGGTCTACGACCCTCTGCTCCGGCCCTCCCTCCCGCCTGGGCCCTGCCGGCCTGGCCACTTCCCTCTGGCCCGGGAAGGTGCCCGCACCCCCCCCCCCACTCCCGGGCGCTGCCCGGTGCCCCGCTGACCCGGCCCTGAACCCCCGCGCGGGGCGGAGCGCACCGGGGGCTCGTCCCGGGCAGGGCGGGGTCCCCAGCCCCCCGGGCCGTGCCAACAATGGGCCGTTGTGGCGGGCGGCGGCGGGCGGGCAGGAATGCGGCCGGGGGAGTTGGCGGCGGCCGGGGGCGGGGCCGGCCCGACGGCCGCCCCTACCTGGCCAGGTAGCTCGCATTTCCCGGCGCGCGCGCGGCCGCGGGCCCCGGGGAGCCGCGCGGAGCGGAGCGGCGCGGCAGCAGGGCAGGGGCGCGGGTCCTCCGGGACGCGCCCCCCCGCGGCAGCATGAGAAAGAGCCCGACGGTGCAGGGCACCTTCAGCAAGCTCTTCGGCAGGAAGCACGCCAGCCCCGCGGGGGGCACCTCGCTCTACGCCACCAACCCGCCCTGGATCTTCGCCCAGGAGGCCCCCGACGAGGGCCCCCGCGGTTTCGGTGAGCGCCCGAGACGCGCCAGGACCTGCGCGGGAGGCGGAGCGGGGCGGCAGGGCCGGGCCGGGCCGCGGGGTGGCGGGGGAGCCTGCCCCGGCCCGGCCCTCGGAGGGGGTGGGAGCGCGGGGTGGGGGTCCTGCGGTCCCGTCGACCCCCAGGTGTCCCTGGACCCCCCGACCCTCCTCCTGCGCGCGCGCGCGCGCTGCCTCCGCCCTGCCGGGTCCCAAGCCGCGGCTCCTCCTGACCGGGAACCTGGGGTGTGTGGGGGGTGGGGGGTGCCACCCGGGTCTCCCCACACTGGACTGTGCACAGGGGAGGCTCTCAGAGAAGTCCACAGGAGCTGCGGCTGGCTAGCAGGGCCCCCGGCTGTGCCGGACTGTCCCTTCCTGGGGCGACACACGAGTTCTTGTGCTTGGCCCAAGATAAGGGGCCCAAGATAAGGGCCCCCCCCCCCCCCCGCCACCCCCTCCACCCCCAGCTGCGGCCTGACCCCGTCTTCAGGCACCAGGAAGCGTGGCAGCCTGGTCCTGGGCTCCCCTTACAACCTCACTCGGGTCTAGCTCTGGGGGGGCCCTAAGAATCCGGGGGAGGAATTCTCCTCTGTGTCCAAGGTTCTGGACCCAGGGAGTCGGCCCTCAGAGGCTGTCGCACCTCATTGTCATGTGTGTTCACTGACTTTCAGGGGCCCCTGTGGCCGGGGTGTGGGTGTATAGTGGGGGTGTGTGTGTACAGTCCTTAGCCCCTGTACCTGGATGTAGGTCAGTGCCCAGCTTCTCAGGGCTGGACACAGGGTGTCACTCACCTTGCGCGGGCCAGAGGAGCAAGTAGCTAACTGGATGCCTCTCTGGGGGGCCCTCTGGGGGTCTTAGTTAGCCAGGAGAGGGCAGAGAGGAGAACTAACTTCCGCAGCCCACAGCACCCCAGACTAGCACTGCTGGGCTTTGGAACCTTCCAGCACAGGGGTTTCCCTCTGCTTGGCCTGCACACCCTCCCTGCCAGCGTCCATCCCTCCCCGGGTGCTACTCTCGTCGCCCTGGCTGGGTGACAGCACACCTGGCCTCCTTAGCACCATTGTTCCTGTTTGACAGATGAGGCCCAGAGAGGTGAAGTCACATGGCCAAGATCACACAGCTTGACCTGGCCACACCAGAACTCTCTGAAGTGCACAATTCAGTGATTTCTTGGCTTAACGGAGTTGTGCAACCCCCTGCTTTGAGAACTTTTCCGTGACGCCCTCATTTTCCTCCTGGGTCAGGGATTAGAATCTGGGCCCTGGCGCTCCAGAGGGCATAGCCCTGGCCAGCTGGCCGGGGACTCTGTGGCAGGTAGCGGAGAGGGGGGTAGCCTCAGCATCACCTGCCTCCCGCAGACGCATGCCCCCTCCTCACATGCATTTCTTTCCCAAGAGGAGACCATGGCATAGCTTAGACAGTTCCCTATTTTGTTGTCTGGACTGCTGGTGGGGGCTGGTCCCCGGAGAGGTGGGGAGCGTGGTGTCCTGTCCCCTAGCCTGGGCAGGGCTGCCAGGGAGGGCGGAAGGGGGGCTGTCAGCTCTTCCCTTCCCCAGGGCAGGGCTGGGTCCCCGCTGACTCAGCCTGGTGGCACCCTGCACACAGAGGGCTTGAAAACAACCTGTGCCTGGCGGGGCGGCGGCTCCCCGTGTTTCCGGGCTGTTCCCCGGGGTGCCGGGGGTGGGGCGGAGGTGTCCCTCCCTGCATTGGGAGTTGGGGACAAGGAGGGGCCGGCGTGAAGGATTCGGGACGTGATGGGAATGCCAGGCCCGCTGTGTCTCTTGTGGGGGTTAGTCAGTGGCTGGGGCGCCGGTGACCTGGGGGTGACGTCCATCCAAGGCTGCCTGTGATGACAGCTGGGGGTCTGTATGTGGCAGCTGAGAAGTAAAGGCTCTCGGGGGCCGGAGCGATAGGACAGCGGGTAGGGCGTTTGCCTTGCACGCGGCCAACCTGGGTTCGATTCCCAGCATCCCATATGGTCCCCCCCGAGCACCGCCAGGAGTGATTCCTGAGTGCAGAGCCAGGAGGAACCCATGAGCTTAGCCGGGTGTGACCCAAAAAGCAAAATAATAATAATAATAATAATAATAAAGTTTTATTTAGATATCACACCCATCAGTTCTCGTCTTGGGCTGTTTCCCTGCTCCACTGACGGTGGCCCACTCACTCTGCAGCCCAAACTGGAAAGTGCTGGCACTTAACAGAAAGCAAACGTTGGCTCCCGCGAGATTTCGTGTGCGCGGGACAGCCCCGGCTCTGAGCTCTCTGGCCCGGCCTGCCTAGCTCCACTTCCTGACGAGCCATCTCCCACGTAGAACAGTGGAGACAGACCTCCAGGTTCGGAGGGTGGGAGTTTCAGCCCCGTGGGCCCGTGGAGCCTTGAGCCTTCTCGGAGCTGTTGGCTGGCTCTGGAAGAGGCCATGCGGCCACCGAAGAGGGAAACCTCAGTGCAGGGATGAGTAAGGGCGTTTCAGACACCCTCCCCGCCTCCCCCCGCTCCTCCCCGTCTCCCCACCGTGACTGTGTTCCTATAAAACTCTGTTTGCTCAAGATAGTCCGAGGGCAGCAGGTACCAGGCCAATAGTCAAATGGTGAAGGGGGCAGTGAGTTGATTTTTTTTTTCCCTTCCTGAACATTTATTGCCGCCCTTCTTAAGAGGGCTTCATGCCATGCAATTGCTGTCTTAATTACGCCCTCTGTCCTCCTCCAGCCCACGCTAGGGTCTTAAAAAGCCACTCGGTTGTTTTTCTAATGCATGAGAAAGCAGATGGGGATCTTGGCCGAGATGATAAGGGAACCGGGCTGCTGAGACAGAGCCAGATGGCGCGGACTCCTCGTTGGTTGCCTCTAGGATTCACTGAGCTGCCTTCCCCGCCCTGGCCTTGCAAATTCTTGTTTGCTTTTGCTCTCGTGAGTGTGTGTGTGTGTGTGTGTGTGTGTGTGTGTGTGTGTTGGGGGAGGCTCTTTCTTGCCTTGGTTCTCCCGGCCGGTATACATAGGTACACACACATGGAGATCACCTGCATTACTCAACCTGGGGCGGACACTTTGTTCTCCTGCTCCCAGACCTTTCCTTCCGGTTCCAGCAGCTTGGAGAATGCTGGTTTCCTCCCCCAGGTGGACCGGGTGGTCCTCCGCTGCCATCCCCAGTGCCCTGGCTCAGCAGTCTGGGGGAACCCCAGTGTTCTCCAGCGTGACAGCTGGTCCCGGCTCCCCGACCTTGGGCCTCGGGTTCTGTTAAAGGGTGTGAATGGGCAAGCCCAGTTCCGGCTGGGGCTGTGAAGGAGCCGTACCTCCTCCACACCCTGGAGGTGTGCTGTGGCTTGGCACTCTCCACACACACACACACACACACACACACGCACGCACGCACGCACGCACGCACACACACCCCTCCTTGCTGCCCTATTTGCCTTATTATATAAGCACCTCTTGTAGCTGTCAACTTCCGGAGAAGCCCTTGACCCCCCCGCAGCCTGGCTCTGGAACGCCCTCTCTCCCGGCAACTAATCAGAGTCACAATCTCATCCCCTTCGTCGTCGTCGTGATCAATCATTTCTCCAACCAGCAGCAGACCGAACAATGTATGCGTATTGCGTATTCTCCATGGAGGCAGGGGAAGGCCCCAGTGGGTTCCGGCGACCCAAGGAATTTGTGCAGGGCTGGCCTCCAGGAACCGCCCTTCCTGGGACCTTGGGGAGCACAGAATGGGACATGGTGTGACCAGGGGGCAGTCCTAGCCCTGGTCTGCAGACCCCGCTGGGGGTTGTCACCTGCACCCGGCACCCGGCACCCGGCACCCGCTGGAAAGCTCTGTGAGCTGAGTTCCGCCCCTTCAGGTCCCAGCCCAGCCCCTCCCTCCCTCCCCACCCCTCCCCCCTGTCCCACTCCAGCCCAGCCCAGCGTCCCCTCTGCCCTTGGACAAAGGCCTCTCTCTGTGTGCCCAGGCCGGCCTGCTGGGGCTTGCTGGGACCGACTGGCCTTTTCAGGTTTCTGTCATGTGGACCCATTAATTAAGGAGGAAGGGCCTCATTAACGCCATCTGTGGGTTCCACGAACTAGCACCTCCTCCTCCCATCATGCTGGAGGCCAAAGACTGGGTGCCCTGAAGAGGGTGGAGCCGGGTGGGGTGGGAGTCGTTCACAGTTCTGGGTTTCTCCAGTCAAGAGTTTAATCAAGGCAACCAACTCTCCGGCTAATGGCTATAATGTCTAACGTCTCGCCCTTCCCAAGGCACTGGGGGATGGGCGGTGTTCCCGGCCACTTGCAGCCCCACACTGTCCCCTTCTCATCCCTCCCTGCCCCTCCCCCACTCTCCCCATTCCCCAGCTTCTGTCTTTTCTGATTTCGGTAGGCTTCCTGCAAGATAAGAGTGATTGTGCCTATTTAACAGGTGGGGAGACTGAGCCCCAGAGAGTGTCCCGAGTCCTCAGACACTGTGTGGAGAGGGCCAGATTCCTGGTGTATCTGCTTTCCTCTGGGCCTCACCAACTTTCTAGTCTCGTTCTGGGAAAGCAGGAGACGGACAGAAGGGAGGGAGGCTTCTCCCCCCCCCCCCCCCCCGTGTCCATGTGGGGTGTGTGTGTGTGTGTGTGTGTGTGTGTGTGTGTGTGTGTGTATCGCCCTTCTTTCCCTCCTGTGCAGACAGTGACCCAAGGGAACTGGAATCCGCATCAGATTCCTGCACCAACCCTCCCCTCCAGCTGTGTGACCTCAGGCGGGACACCTAACCTCTCTGTGCCCCTGGGCCCTCCTCTACTGGATAGGGACAGGCTGTACAGACTGTCAGAACCTTCCGGACCTCAACCCCCTGAGGAGCACCTTGGCTGGGGGAGGGGAGAGCCACTGCTACCACTTCAGCTCTTGAGAGGGAAGGCCAACTCCGGGCTGGCAGAGGCTGCGGCTCGGGTGGGGATACTGGTGCCCACTCGGCCCCTGTCGCTGCCGCACCCTGGAGAGGCCTGAGCGGGCTCCCTCACCTGTGCTTGGGGC